GCTTTCACAACGAAACACACAGCGCCTTCACGACATGGCGGCGGCGACAACAACAATACTACAGCGAGAATCAGAGTTACGCCTTCTTTCTTTGCGTGAGCATTTGAGCGGTGTTATGCAAATCTTCCCACACAGTGACGTAGATATGTGGGGGCGTGTTTAAATGAGGCGTTTTAGGAGGGCGTGACGAGTCTTAACTTTTAAATAGAATATCTCTTTGGGTTTGAGACTTTAGGCTTTGCAACTTTAGGGATCTTATCTATTCACAAACAGCTTGTAACACTCCTAAGAGAAAGGAAAACTTGAAATCACATCAGATGACCCCTTTAATGCGTGAATCACTGAATCATTCATTCAACCGATTCGTTCAAAAAGCTGATTCATTCAATAAGTAAACACTGCCCGTTGCCGATTTTTGTTGGCAAAATTGAGCAAAAAACAGGCAATATTGTCTCTAAAATGTAAGTCACTTAATGCCAACGTTATTAAAGTTGTATAAAATGATTATTACATTTGTTATCATGCTGATATCTGGAGAAAAAACTGCACCCTTTGTGTGATATAGATTATCTATATTAAATTATATAAATAGAAAAAACATACAGAGGGATTTTTACCATCTACAATTTAGAATGCCTTGAATTTTGAGTGTTCTTTGTCTTCTTCCGACTTTATTTTGTAGTGAGTAATTAATATGCTTCAGGGAAATGTATCGGAGTAAAAGTATACATTTTAATTAGGAAATGTAGCTATACTGGAGTAAAAGTGAAAGCTGACAGAAGTAAAGTACAGCTACTCCCAAAAATACTTGTAATGAATAATTATTACTTTGTTACATTATACTACTGCTAGTAATATGAATGCTAATAAGCAACTTTAAAAGTGAGAATTGATCCCTAAACTAAAGTGTTACTGAAAATGTAACACAAAACTCGGTTTCATCTATTATGAACTGAATTGTGAAAAGTGGCCATTACATTTAAAAATGGAAGCAGGTGATGAATGAATGAATGAATGAATTAATATATTTGGATTAACTGCTGTGATTAATTGTTAGCAATAACAACAAAACATGCAGTAAAAATTAAATAGGGCCATTTTTTACTTCATGTTGACTCAGAGTGTGCAAGGGAGATGGTGTGATCTTTTTTTAAAAGTGTAATTGCTGTCCTTTCCAATTATTTTTCCATTACATGAAAAGCATCCACAAGTGTACACTTTAAAACATCACTTGTGTCAAATGCTTTTAGTAAGTGTATTTACCGTGGTTTGCCATTCAGTGTACACTTCTGCTACCAGATGACAATTTCGCAGAAGAGCTTTCGAGAAGCTACTCGAAAAGATAGAAAATAGGAGTTGTGTTCACCTCCTACCTTTTTGTACCTCTCTTTGGTGGCGTTGACGTCATCTTGCAGGAACTGCAGCTGGATTTGATAATCAAGGTTTCTCAATAGAACCGTGTCGGCTTCCTGTAACCACAAGAGCAAATGGACTCATAATCGTGTTGCTGTGAGAGACTTTCTCTGGAAAAATTAACAGCGGTAGTGCATTTTCCTTTCTCATGCTCCCGTTAGCCCTGTTACATTGCACTCGAGCAGATAAACAGTGGTGGATTTTTAAAGCAATGAAGCACTCCATGGTATGCATTAGTGACTTCACCACAAGTAAGGGTTGATCTTAAACCAGAAACATACAGTACGTGACTCAAACACAGATGGCTGCCAGCAACATAAGTGTCATGCATTAGTTATCACGCTAGCAATCCCCAAAACTCAAGGGAGTGACAGAGTTGCCTTTAAATATCTGTGCCAATAAAATGTGCTATTATCTGAGTAGCTACCAGTTTCACAACTTGTTCAAAACATCCAGTACAGTAGTAGACTGAAGACGACATTTTGAAACAAATGTCTGCTATAGTACCTCTTTTGATTTGTCTGAGAATGCATATTGTTGCAAAACAAACTGTACCAACACACAGATTTAAGTTTAGGAATAGCTAAAAGCATTTGAATTTGAAAGGACTTGCATAGAGTATGTTTCTGGCAAAAGTAGTAGCTTAAAGGCCTCGAGTAGCTTACAGTATTGCATTTATAAAAGAATGATAAGTCCTTGAGTCTGTGTTATGTTGATTTTAGCACTGGTTTGAGGTGGTTCACCTGGTGCTGAGCCTAAGAGCAGCCCTTGCCTGTGGTTATGTTACTAAAAAGCATAATCTCTTGTGGATTATTGCTTTATAAATTGCCTGAGAAATTGCAGGTCAGAGAACGGCACAGTTTATTGGTACCTTATTGAGCTGTTCCAGCGTATGCCGCAGCTGCTCTTGATATTCACATTCATTTCTGTATCTGTGGACAACAGAGAGCGTTTCAAGCACAGTTCGTCATGCATGTTCAAGGTTTTCATTTCAAGGCTCTTCATTAGTTATAAGGAGCGTTATTGATCTGCTCTATGCTGCTTCGATCAGTGGAGCCTGCTGTGATTTCTTTTGACCATAGTTCAGTGGTTTCTTTGGTGTTTTAAAACATCTAAACATGACCAATTCTCAATTACAACACCCTTGACCTGTGAAAAAGTTCATTACTAATTAATAATTCAGCTGTTACGAATATTGTAAATGCCAAACCTCTATCCTAACCATAATCCTAATATTGGTTTGGGTGATAGGAATGTTTTTCTAGGACTAAAATAGTCATGCCATAACTATGATATTTTCACCATGGGATAAAACATAAGGTAGTTGCGACATTTAATCTCATAATTCAGATCATCACAATTCTGAGAAAAAAGTCTGAATTGCCAGATATAAAGTCACAGTTATGAGATCTTAACTAATGATTGTAAGTTTATAACTCAATTTAGATTTTATATTGTGTTCAATTCGATAGAGAGATTGAATTGTGAGTTTATAACAAGAAAAGGCTGAATTGTGAGACAAAAAATGCAATTATAAAAACATGCTACTTAAATGCCCCGTCTATTTCTTGATGATCTGATGCATATTACACAAACTTTAAGTGCTCTGGTTGACTGACTTTACATAATTTCAGTTTTTTAATTGGAACGATTTCTCAATGCCTGTAAGACTAAAGTTTTCTCACTGCATCACTGAGTACCTTTGAGGAAGAACTGGACTTGCCAAAGTTTGCCAGGTTAGTGGCATCAAATCTAAGAGTTTTAAGACAATTAGGAGCATGTAAACTACCACAAGCAGAACAGCTGTCAATTGTCTGTGAAATCATCTGTATTTTTGCTGCACCAGCTTTTTTGTTCTGTTGTCTGTTAATATGGTATAATCTATTTCAGGTAAACCAGCCCCTAAATGGTACTTATTTACATCTTTCTTCCTGTTTAAGTAGATGCTTGAATATTGTCTGCTATAATTAAATGTTCTTGTGCTCAATCTATTTAATGACACGATGGCTATATGTTTGCATTATTTAGGCCACCCTGCTCTCTGGATAAGATGTTAGCGTTTAACCTTAACCTTATACTTCTATGGCATTGTCTAACCTGCTGTTGTACTCATCCAGCATGCGTTCTGCATCTTTGAGTTCTCTCTCCAGCTTGGCTCGGTCCGACAGCAGCTCCCGGGTGCGCTGTCTGTTGACGCTGATCTGCTCGCTAAAGACCTCCTCCAGCCCTGGCGCCTCCTCCATGCGCTGAAGAGTCTCCAGCTGTTTGCGGAACACAGCATTGCGCTGCTCCAGCACACGCGCTCGGTTGATGTAACGCGCAAAGCGGCTGTTTAGTTCCTGGAGGCTCTCCCAGCCCTTGACTGTCGAGGGCCCGCCGGCCGGAGCCGACTCCATCTCTGGGCTGATGGGCTCCTCAAAGACATCGGTGCGCTCGTACTTCTCCTTGCGCACCTCATGCCGGTAGCTGGTCTTGAACATACTGCGTGCGTGATGGTTTCCACTTCTACAATTTCCGGCTTAGTATTTTAGTGCCCCTCATCACCTTTAGTGTGTGAAAACTGGGCTGCTCACCCTCTGCTGTCTCATGCTAGACTAAACTCTGCCCGTTCGGGCCTCGGGGACAAATAGCTAAAAAACACTTTTCATCCTGGTGTTTCACATGGTGTCCTCGATGGATTCTTCCAGTGGAGTCCCGTGCACAAGGCCAACATTGTCAAAGGCTTTGCTGTGTTGAATGATCTTTTGAAATCTGCTTTTGTTTGCAGCTCAGTCCAGCTCTGTCTGTGATCACAATGACGCGCTTCTACGGCCTTCTGTTTGACAATGAAAAATTGCAGGGCCTGCTGTTTCAGTGCACATGAAACAACTGCAACTTCTCGACGGCAGTCTGGCCATGCTGTACGCAATCCCAAAACTACTGTTAAATACATCACTGATGCACATACTGATAAACCTCTTTATATGGCTATCATGGAATGTCACATTCAATAGGATTGCAGTTCTACTCAAAAATGATTTTCTTTTAAGAAATCTGCATGGTCTTACTTTTTTATTAGGTGGCCTTTAATACTATGTACCAACATTAAACTGGATTTATATGCTGTTCTGGAAAATTTGCTGCTAATGGGTTGAGGTATGGTTAGATTTAGGAGTAATGGTAGGGTAGGGGTAGGATTATAAGAGTTACAGGGTAAGGTTTGGGTTACAGTTAGGTGTAAAGTACTTGCATTAAATGTTAATTAAATACAAACACTTTAAATGTAATTGCAGTGTTCATAACAATTATATTGTATCAAAAGGTTAAGGCCACCTAAAATGAAGTGTGACCAACAGGTTTAGTGATGTGTTAAAAAATATCATAAAACAGCAGTCTTCAGGTCTTTTTTAAGTCTGATGTTAAAGGGCCAAGTGACCAATAGACTTCATGGAAGTTGTAAGCTCTAAAAGTGTTAAAGTAATGGATAAAGGGTTATTCTTAAACGTCCTTAAATGGTAAAATTGAGATAAATCAGTCTCTGTGGTTTATTGCTTTATTAAAATGGCATCAACAAAAAATAAAGACATCAATGGTCAACTATGAAAATAAAGTATATCAAGATTTTTGCTTGACAAAGACTTGTCTGAATGTTTCAAATAGTCTGAAGGTCAGTTTTATGTTCCTTTATGTGGTTTGAAGAGAAGTTTCAAACCTGAAGGATATACAGTCAACTTTCTGTAATATGAATACAGTACTTGTGCAGTTTTAAAAGGGATTTGAAGTTTGAATGAATGTACAGGTAGGCCTTGCTATGTAAGAAGATACTGCATTTATCTGGAGTGCATTATGAAAAAGAATCTGTGTTATATTTTGTAGAGTAGAATTTGGTAGAATTTAATTACAGAGCTACATTTATTTATATAGTTGCCGCCAGTTACTGACTGACATAAACTTTAAATGATCAGACCTAATTTCAACTATGAACAAAGCATTGCAATTATTTAATATTTATTTTTGATAGAAGCTCAGTTATGGTAACAAATAAATCCATCCATTCATTCTCCAAAACACTTGCCATAGGGTCTATCCCAGCATCACAGGACATAGGCAGGAAAACAGGAAAGGCCATCATAGACTCACACACACACTCCCTCCTGTATGCAATTTATTGTCTTACGGGCAATTTAATGCATGTCTTTGGACTGTGGGAGTAACCAGAGAACCTGAATGAATGCACAACATGTAAACTCCACACACAATGGCATCCTGGAGTTTTTTTTTTCTTTTTTCATTTTAGTGATTACAAGCTTAATTTATTGTTTATAATATATTTTGAGAGAAATTATTATGTTATACTGTAATAACAATTGTATGATCTGAACAAATACATTATGGAAATTTTGAATTGCTAGAATCATTTTGAACTTTCTCTATCCAGCCTAGTGTATTTATGGTCACTGTTTACGGTTTAAACTTTAATATTTTCAAATGCAATTTATTCCTGTGATGCAAAGATGAATTTTCCGCAGCCAATAGTCCATGGTGGAGCCGAAAGGAGAGAACCAAACCAACTGATGTGGACACCCAGGCGAAGCTGAAGACCCAGGCTGATGCCAATGGTCTGGAGGGCCAAGGCAGAGCTGAGGCGGAGCCGGTTGCGATGCAGAGCGAGGACAGTGGTGTAGTTGGAGGAAAGGAGGAGCCCGGTGGAGCCAAAGCAGTGGAGGTCTGAGGTGTAGCTCAAAGCCTGAAAGCCCGTGGTGGAACCAGGGTGATGTCTGACCAAGGCAGAGCCAGAGGCATGGGAGCCCGGCAGAGCCACAGAGTAGATGAGGGAGAGAGGCTGAGGTGGAGTCCTGGCCTTGGAGGCCTGAGGTAGAGCGGAGAATCCGACGTGTAAGCCAGGGATGGGCAAGCTCTGGAGGGCCACTGTCTTGCAGAGTTTAACTCCAACCCTGATAAAACTCACATGCCTGTAGTTTTCTAGTAATCCTGAAGACAGTGATTAGCTGGAGTAGCTGCGGACTGGGCTGCCTGGAGCTGGGGAGGGGTAGAGCCAAAGAACTAGATGGAGCCAACGGAGACAAAGAAGCTTGGAGATTAGGTGGGACCAGCGGAGCAGGAAGGGCCAGGAAAAACCAGGGAGTCCAATAAACCAGGGTGGGACTTGCACTCCAGGATGTCGAGCTGGATTAGTACTACTTACAGGACAGCCATGGGGGCTAACTCTAGCTCTGAGAAACATGTAGCATCAGGCCCAGGCTGTGGGATGAATGGAGTTTCAGGATCTAGCTCCAGGGTGGAACTTTTTAAAGGCAGATGGTCCTTGGCACACATGGACTCTAGCTCTGGGTCCATGGTCGGCATGGCTCAGGCTCTAGGTCCATGATTGGCAGTCAAATGTCATCGTCCATGGTGAAAGAGGATCAACTCGTTATGAGCACTAGCTTGACTAAATCAATTAATTTTCCTTGGGGAGTATTCTTGAGAAAAGGGATTTTGGTTTTTAAGTGTTTATTGTCCATTGTAACTGATCTGGAAAGTGGGGCTGATGGGCAAGTTACAAAAAGTCTCTGGTGTGTTTCTTGTGAGCATTCTGTGATCTGGCTCGAGTGATCATTCTGGGTCAGAAGGAGGAGACAGATGGCTACTAGATCCATTCTTCATTTCTGGGTCCGCTGTTACAGCTAGGCAGGCAAGGAGAAGTGAGGAGGATCTATTAGCAACTTTCACTTTATTAAACAAGCAAAACTAAACAAAACATGCAGGAAATAAACCAGGAACTAATGAAACTGAGAGCATAAATACACAGGAAAATGATAAACTCAACAAGACACATCTGAAACTAATTAGTAACCATTGAAACAAACTAGCAAAGGAAACCAAGAGAACAAAACAACTCAGGAACGAAAAACAGGAACAGAAACCAAAGCAGAATGTGAAACACAGGAATAAATTACATTTTAAAATATATTACAATCGAAATTGAAATAATAGTTCACAATATTACTGTTTTTACTGTATTTTAATCAAATAATTGGAGACTTGGTGACCATAAAAGACTTTCAAAAACATAAAAAACATAATTATTCCAAAAACACCTTTTTTGGCATTTAGAGTCCACTTTTGTTGAGAGTGGTTTGGAGCTAATCAGCTGTGTGTCTGGCAAACTGGGGGCTCTGTGGCTCTGCTCAGGTGAAGCAGTGTATGGCTGAGTCATCCACATCAGGGCTTTGGGGGTCTCTGCCATGCTCTGATTGGAGATGGAGCTCCTCTCTGTCATAATGCATTATTATCACACTAGAGCATCCTCAAGTGATTGCTCAAAGCATTCCCCTCTCCTTTACTTTATGGGGGGAACAGTATGCTTTTCAAATGAACACATTGTGAGAGACATGACTGGCTAGAAGCAAATGGGAGGATGGTGTATGAGGGTGTGGAGTGAACAGAACTGTGCTAGATGAGTATTCATTCTCTTCCTTGTGCATACTGTGTGCTGTGTGCCTGGCTATTGAATCCTCACTGGGAGATCAATGGGGTTTTTGTCATTTGGAATTGATATTCCACAATGCGGAATATGCTAGTGTTGGCGGTTACACTTTATTTCGATAGTCCACTTTAGACATTCTACTAACTATAAGTAACTTTGTAACTACATGTCAACTACATGTCAACTAATTCTCATTAATTTGCAACTACATGTCTACTAACTCTCATAGTATACTGTTAGGGTAGGTTTAGGGTTAGTAGAATAAATTGACAGAGAAAGTGTTAGAAGATATTAAGCAGACAGTCTATTAATACTCTACTAACTGCTAGTTGACATGTAGTTGCAAAGTTACTTGCTGTTAATAGAATGTCTAAAGTGGACTATCGAAATAAAGTGTTACCGTGTCGGCCACTGTTAGTTTTCACAGTGATACACAGAACTTTGCCAAAACATGACAGCTAAACAAACATTTTTCAAAGAGTGAACAAACACAGTCAGAGTATTTGTAGAACTTCTACAGAGTAACATGGAAAGCTTGTGTATAGTGTTGCATTGAATAGCACATAGAGCTCTAAGATGCTATTGTGTACAATTTATGGGCATAATAAATAATTCTGCCACATATGTAAACGCTGGACACAGGAATATTTGACAGTGGTATTTGGTAAGCATGGTTATGCTGCCTTCCAAGATAACTGTGTCTTATATCTTTGGAATGATTCACTGTAAAAAGCATAGTGAAAATAATCCATTCAAGATGAGGGCTGAAGCAAGAAAAAATATATACTTAAAATGTATTGTGATTCATTCTTTATGCTTTTTGGGGAGGATTTTTATAGAAAATCAGCATCAAGAAATTATTCATATCAAAACAATCTATCAAGGTCGAAACGGTGTCCACCAGATATGGCATCAAAGCAATTCGCTGTCTTATCCAAATCTACATAAACATGAACGCCCATTCAATGTTAAGTACTGCAATGTCTGAAAGTCTCCTGTTTCTTATATATGTTTTCAGTTGGCACAAGCAAGAAAAATTTATTTTGCTCAACGCACTGTTCATCGGCACTGTTCAGAATAGCTTAAAGAAGTTACCAGCATTTATTAGACTGTGGACTAGCTTTGATTCTTTGAACAGTGATAATCGTTTATCAAAACTTGCTTGTCCTGTCAACATACAGCATTGAAAAGTGACAGTTCTGCACTCGTGTCCTCTTCTCAAAACCATTGTGATGACAAATAAATG